CATATAGGGGTTGTTTTAAGGGTTGGAAACATGGGATAAGATTTTTATTGGTTTTATAGGGTTCTAGATAGGTGTCCCCAATTAGTTTATTTAAATAAGCTAGAACGACATGACACAGTAATAAAGTTTATTATTATTATTATTATTAATGCCCTTAAAAACATATGTAGTTATAACTTTGGAATTGAATAAAAGATTAAAGAAGCGCTAAAAGAAAAAACGCAGACACACTTTGGTAGAACAACATACGTGTAATAAGATGCAAAAAAAAWTTTGATCCGTTTACGCTAACCAGAGGGAGAACAAACATCTCGCGTCGAACCWTAGCGTTTGCAATCAATGCCCGATTTATCCAAAATGAATTATTTTTGTCCAAAAGTAAAATCGAATATGGAATATTTGAACTTTAAGCTGTTAGAAAATGTATACTTTATGGGGAAATTTATATTAACTAAACGCGCTATGAGCGTTCAAAAAACCCGACCCGATTGTGTTCCSTGTATCCTTAAAAGAATAATTAGCACGCTAGTCAAAAGGCTTCACACATAAGAAGATCAAAACCACCCACCCCGAACGGTAGTCAACCTAGTACATGATGAAATATGTTAAAACATGTTTATTCAACTAGCCGTAGGCATTTGTCTGCTTCCTTGCCAAGCTGGTGACACTTTCTCTCCAGGGGAGAAAGCGTTGCGTGACGACACTGAAAGCGGCTGTGGGGGAGACTAGGTGACACTGAGAGGGGATAACATAACCTGCTTTCCAGGTGGGGAGGGGGTGGGGATTAATCGTTTCGCTAGCGATATACATCATAATGTAACAAGACTATGGAACGCAAGGGATCTTTGGTCTGTCGAGCCACTCGTTTCATTAAACCTCGTCTACTAAGACGTTCATACAAGTTGAGCGTCAGATTTAACTTAGACTGCGAGCTAAGTCCCTCTATTTCCCTTGGTCACTGTCCGTCTGTCTGTCCGTGTCGATTGGTCGAGGAAGATTGGTTAMGGGTCAAAGTCCCTGGGGGGAGGGGGCTGGGGAGGGAGGGACGAAAGAAAAATAAAGGTAAATAGAGGGACTTAGCTCGCAATCTAGATTTAAGTACACAAACCAGAGCAGAGGGTCAGTACAACCCGAACTACRTGACCTTAGCCTTGTTCACAACTAAGTACAAGATTGAATGCACAGAAATAATTAAATTGCTAGTCCTTATATAATCAGGTAATCTAATCTGAAATTCGTTTTACATCATGTATCTAGACAAGTTCAACGATGGTGGTTTCTAATTGAAAGAGGTCTGTAGAACAGTAAACTACAAGTCGTAGATCTCCAAGTCAAAACARTCTCACTAAACTCACTAAACTAAACATGCTAGACTTGCAGAATCATATACAAAAAGCCGCATTATTCATTTAAACAAATCATTCTTAAAATTCTGTTGCCGTAACAATATGTTATATCGCGTGTCCTCAGATTCAAGCCCCAGATTACCATTGCGCGACAATTTACTCTCCATCCAATCAAATACCCGAAACAYGACATGCACACGTCGCGGACACGGTCACGTCACGCCAAGGTCACGGCACTGCCAGACCACTTGCTAGCTGCGAATTTCGCGAGAAACAAATCAGACAAAACATCACGGTCGCGGCAAGGCACGCGAAAAGCACCGAGTTTTTCGCAGTCAAACGAAAACTGCTCTTATTTGGCACCTTATTATAGGCTTGTACTTCATTTTACTCTTTACTTTTGCAATGTATTTGTTAATGGGCTATGGCAAATTATATTTTTGTTTCATTTWAAAAAAAATAGGACTCCCTGTGGTACCACAATGCTCTAAAGCCATAAACATAAAGATAAAAAGAAAGTTTGTTTTTTCTGATGGGCGGCTGACATCACTAAGGTATCAGCGAGATGGTCCTCTTGCTCTAGTGCCCAAACGTAGCGCGAGAACGGAAATTGGATGGAAGAATTGAACGGCAATAAACAAAACCTACAACCGAGAAGYATTGGAGCGAGAGAGCCTTTGTCACCCAAAGTGTCAGTTCCGAATGTGGAATGGATTAAGAGTAACGTTCTGACCGTAATAGACTAGTTGCCCGTGGGGGGGGGGGGGGGGGGGGGGGGGGGGGGGGAGCAAGGGCGGATCCAGGGTGAAGCCCCCCCTTCAGCAGAAAAAAAACCCGATGCTTTTTTATA